CTGCGAACAGGCTCCTGGTGAGCCCGAACGAAGCGAGGGAGCCTGTAGACATTCTATTGATGCCGCCGTGATGCCGCCCATGATACCAGCTACTGGTATCATGATATGATTGGTTAAATCGCTGATTGTTGACACCTTTGAGATAAATATTTGACAGGTCTTTATGAAATGCGGTTGACCGCCCTACACGACTCCTACACTTCGTGGCAATTGTGCATTTGTCGTTTTCTTTTAATTTTCGGTCTCTCGACCTTTCGTTGGAACCGTTTGGCAGTGCTATAGCAATTTTGTTTTAGAGGTCAAAGGCATGGCTTGCGGATTTTCCGATGTTCATTGCATGTCGCTTCGCAGTGTTTGACACCACTATCATGTGCTTATAATTTCTTTAGGCTCATTTCAGTATTGCGAAATATGTTTTAAGCTCTCTAAGTATTAGCTCTGGAGGGACAAAGTTTGAAATATTCCGTGAACATGTTTTTTACTTGCACTCTATATTATGACGCCGGGAAAGACTGTTTGATGAGGTCGATTAGACCTAAAAGTACAGAAAATGTAGCTTCCTGACAGGCCTAATTACCTCATTGACTGATTTGTTACAGGCTAAACACCAAGGGCGGATAGGCACATCAAAGACAAAGTATACAGGCTCCACTGTCCCGCCCCGATCGTTTCGCTCATTCTTCTGTTTCGCGCTCGCCGAATGTTTTTTTCCGCCCTCGCCAGGAGCCTGTTCGCAGGCTGACGTTAATGCAATGTAAGTCTCCTGCGCAGACACTCTTTCGACTCGTCGCGCGGAAACCGTTTCCTGGCAGATCCGCTGAAAATGAAAATAGAACTGCAGTACGTCATCAATTTCCGTTTCCGTGGGAAACGGAAATTGATTTCAATTTTGTCGGTCTTGGACCTTTCATGGTCTGCAAATGGACTAAGGTGGCCAAATACAAATTTCACCAGCATTCTTTCCTAGTGTATAGTTGTCAGACGGACACAGGAACCTGGACTGGGCGAGCCGTCAATCATTTCATTCTAGAACATCGTAGTCAAGGATCACTGCTCACTGAAAAGGTACCGCGATCCGCAGACTTTGTAAGTGAAAAAGGAATATCAAGAGTTTTTGAAAAATGCTTGGATCTTCAGCTGCCAATGCCGCAAAACGAGTGAGGGTGAGTAAAACGGTTATTTGATGTCTGAGGTGAGTGATATTTTTACTCGAACGATTCACTTTACCCTCTTTCCGTGCCTCTTGAAAACTTCAGTAATGGTTGAATCAGTCAGGACTTTAAGCAAAGACAACGCGGACGGCGACGGGAACGCCATAAGATCAGGGAAAAGCCAAAAGGTCCACTGCGCATGACTGGCGGGAAACAAGT